TCCCCTCTGGTAACCATCAATCCAATCTCTGTCTCTATGTGTTTGTTCATTGTTGTTATTATCTACCACTTAATGAGTGAGATCATACAGTATTTGACCTTCTCCCTCTGACATTTCACTTTGCATAATACCCTCAATGTCCATCCATGTTGTCACAAATGGCTGGATTTCATCATTTCTTATGGCTGACTAGTATTCCATTGTGTATATATACCACATCTTTATCCATTTGTCCCTTGATGGGCACCTAGGTTGCTTCCAAGTGTTGACCATTGTGAATAATACTGAGAACTTCTTGGACTGTCAGTATCTTTAGGATTTTCTTCTTGGACTGGTTCAGACTCCCCAGGGTCCTCCAGTCCCTTCCTGGAGGGTAGCAGTCTGGCTCCCAGTTTCTGGGAGCTCAGCTGGGGGGAGCACTGGGGGAGCTCTCTGCATTCAGCACTCAGTCTCCACCTGTTTCAGCCGAGTACCGACATTCACCGCTGTCCCTGGCACGCCCAGCGCTCTCCAGAGCTGAACCCCAGATATTTGTCCGAATGAGGGAAGGGCATCACCCAGGGGCTAGAGAAAGGGAGGGGACCTAAAGATCTAACTGTTCTTCAAAGACACCTTCAAACAGTCCTCTTTATTCCAGCCTTCTTTCACCCTTAGATCTAGCAGCAGCCAGTGCCACCATTTCCCAAGCTTTTGAGGATTCTGTTGTCTGAATAAGGGTTGGTTCTCAGCTTTCCCCAGTGTCAGGAGGAATGTGGCTATCTGGAGCTAAGTCAGGTAATACGGGTCTTCCTGCTTCCCAGCTTCCAGAGAGTCTATTGCTGGGCCCCCCTTTCCTGTACTCCCTGTCTTTGTGGATTTCTCTTGAAAAGATTCCTTTCCTGTGGATTTATGGGCTTCTGGAGGCAGCGTGTACTCTCTTCATGTCTTAACCTGAAAATCTCCTCCATATCTTTTGTGACCTCGGCATTGAATAGATTTGCCGTCATTCACTGAACTCATCTCCTCCTCCTCAGCAGCTTATTTCCACTTTTCCTTGTCAAAAGCCAGGCTGCGTGGGTGTCCTGAGAGTTAGGTCTCTGTTCATTTGGTTCTTGTCTTAAGACAAACTCAATGAGGGAGGTTTGCTGATGTGATTCTGCCTGGATCGTTCTCATTATGAGGGGTGTGTGTGTGTCTCTCTCTCTCTGACCAGCCTCACACCACCGCTCCGAAGCCGCATCGCCCCCGTTTCCAACCCCCCTTCTGTCGCTAACCACCTGTCACTCAGTCTGCGAGCCTGTCTGCTCACCTGCACATTGAGGCTACAGCACCTCGCATCCCAGCGCTGCCGTGAGGACTCCAGTGAGCTCATGTCTGAGCAACAGCCCGGGCTCTGTTCAGGGGAATGAGCGTTTACTGCGCGGTCACTGCGCGGCGCCGCGCCCGGTTTGCAGGCAGCCTGGTAGGGGAACGGCATCCCGCTCAGTACAGGGTCGCTGGAGCATCAAACACGAGCAAGAACCGGGACGCACACGCCAGGCGGAAAGAGCGAATCCTACACTGCGTGGCGTTGTTTATTCAGTGAGTATTTTAAGGGCTCATCGTGGCGGTGTCGTGTCTTATTCTTTCCGGGGGGGTAAGTAAGCGCACGGGTCCCTCTCGACCCCCGGCACGCCGCGGTGAAGGGCCTCGGAGCCGGGGCGGAACCGCTAACTGCGGAACCTTTCTTTCCGCCCCCGGGTGCCCCGGCTCGCCCGGCAGGAAATGCGTCAGGGACGGCGCCGCGCCGCCGCACTCTGGCCTCGGTCGCCACGGTAACGCGCGTGTCCTCGCCATGGACGTCCGGGTGGCGCGGGCCGCGTGGGCCCGGCGCT